AGAGAGAGAGAGAGAGAGAGAGAGAGAGAGAGAGAGAGAGAGAGAGAGAGAGAGAGAGAGAGATGGTGAGATATTAGATTGTAGATTAGATTAGCTTTTACAACGGTGAAATTAGGTCGAGACGCAAACAACTTTTCCGACCTCCGAAATCGTTTCAGACGGCAATTCCGCAACAGGATTACATAGGTTTCACCTCCAGGTAGAACTGGGAACTAGAGTTTAACAGAGAAATAATCTGTACCATTTTCTGGTTCGCAGAGTCTCCTGATCAAGGCCTTTACAAGGTTTTCTCAATGACATTTCATAATTTTTTAATTAAATTTGACTACACAGGCGAAAGTTAATTAGAAAGCCTTAATGGGATTACTAAAACGGCTACAATTTTTCTCGCTTTCTTAACACGATGCAAAAATTAGGGTACATGCTAATTAACGCATAAAATGACCGCGGGTAATAAACCTAATTTATAAAAATCCTTAATTTAATAAAATCTTTTTTTGATAGCTCAAAAAAATCGCCCCCCCCTCGGGTGGTAATTAGTCCGAAAAATTAAGCAAATAATTACAAACTCGGATTCCAAAAACGATTAAACCGCTTCTTCTATCAAAAAAATGGTGGGAAATTATAATTTGACCAGATACATGTACAGGGATGAACAACGACAGATCTGTTAATATTAATTTAATCTGTTAATTTTTATGTCAATATTCACCCCCTGATATATGCCTTGCCTGAAGTGCATTGCTACCGCTAAACTGGGTAACGATTAGCTCTGACAATGGCGCAAATCCGTCTGGAAAACCACCAACGACGTTACAGCACTTTCCCCGCGAATACAGATGAGCGAATCAAATTCTCACTCGCTATTGAACCACTACTGAGCGAGCGCGGGCGCGCGCGCAAAACACAGGAGCATGGCTGCGATAGAGCGAGAGTCAGAGAAAGGGGTAAAAAGAGATAGAGAGAGAGAGAGTGAGAGTGAGTGAGAGAACTAGTGAGAGAGAGAGAGAGAGAGAGAGAGAGAGTGAGTGTGAGAACTAGTGAGAGAGAGAGAGAGAGAGAGAGAGAGAGAGAGAGA